ACTTCAGAGGGATTTCCAATTTCGTGAGAAACTCTCAGATTTCCATCTAACACTTTTACTTAAAAGGCTGTTGAAAATGCAATATTGTTTCTTACTCAACTGACCCGTTTATACTGACCCTTATTACGCATATGAAGTGAATGAATTCTCGAGGCTTCTGTTTGTGTCTGAGCATTCCACATTTGTTCTCAATGCCGAGTTTATGTGGTGGGCTGAGTGGGGCATATTTCAGCTCCGTGTCGGGGGGGTCCTCCATTCACTCGCACTCAGAGCCGCTCAGCTGTTTCTTCACGTTACTCCGGGATACTCCGGCTGGACATGTGCCGTTCTCCTGTTGCTCAAAGACTCAGCATGTTTCATCCCACAGCCTGCCTGTCATGGTACCCATGCGGATTATGCTGGGACCCCCCGTATGGAATTTTTCCCATCACTGTAGTGACAATAAACAGCCTTTAAGATTACTAGATGCTGTTTACAACATACTTTTCTAATGTGGTAGCCTACCTGCCGGCTAAAACGAACCTAAGCACGTGCGGAAGGGCAACATGTCTTTGTCTGCAACAGCCCTAAGTAAAGCACACAGAGAACAGCTATCTTTTCTGAGCTTATTTTTTCTCGGTCGCTTACTGAACACATCAAAAATGTCAGCCTGTAACTGATGGACATGCCCAAAAGCTCCAGCATGCTTTTCATGAACCCCCAGAAAGCCATTTGCTGGGAAGCAGCGGGTGGAAGAGAAAGCACATTTAGCCTTTAAGGGACAAGCTATCACTTTCACTGTTTTTCACTTTAAGCTGTAACTAGTATTCATCTCAACAACAGACAATTTTCAGCATTTTCATAGGCTACATAATGGTGAACATTATCTCAGGATATTGTTCTAAGACAACATTTCGTCAATGTCCAAAGCATTCGGTGGGGACTAAAATGGAAAGCTACCACTTGTCCAGGTATTCATCTAAAATATGGGGTGTGATCTCAACCTTTGTACTATTCCTGAATCTATCCAGTAAAGCATAACTTGGCACCAAAAGTGCTGGCAAAGGACAACGGAGAGTTTCCAGTCTACAAATGCACTCTAAACATAAGGTATAACAAACCACGGAGAAACTGCTTTCGGAGTAGGCCGACATATTCATTTTACATTCAGCTGTAACTTTACTTTTAATAGAAATTTCATTACACTGATTAATCAATTCTAGGAAACTTGTAGGCCAACATTTTTTTCTTAAAATCACACTTCACATTAGTATGTACACAAGTAGATATGGAAACATTTTTTTTACAAGTAATAAATGTAACATGGCCACTGGCCAGCTAGCTTTTTAACTTATAATCAGTAAAAGTGACTCCTGAATTTGCAGAATTTATTTGCAAACAGATTTCCTTTTTCTTTTAAACAAACAAAACAAAATGAATAAGTTAGCTAATTTTAATAAATCAGGGGATAAAAAGTCATAAGTTAACAGAAATTGAGAAAGAGAGAAATGGTATATTTAGAGGACATACATCACAACACAGATTAACCAGCAGTATTTAGTGCTGCAGTCTGTAATTAAGCCAATCAGCACACTTGAATAATCACAGGAGATGAGCAGTTTCAGCCTACTACACAACTACAATTACAGTTAACCTTTAAAAGGGTCATCAAATGTTCATTTTATCATTCAAACAAAAGCAACTGAGATAAAAAGGTGAAAAAACAGGGTGACGCTACAATAAGATTTCATAAACTAACAATGAACTGCACTTCCACAGTATTTATTCAGTTTTGTTCATGTTAATTTCAACATTTACTAATACATTATTATTTAAAATCCAAAATTGCATTTGTTAACATTAGTTAATGCACTGTGAGTGTGAAGTAGCATGAACAAATAATGTTTTTATCTAACAAAGATAAACAAATAGGCTACAGTAACAAATATGGTTAGATCCTGTTAGTTAATCCTTTTTGTAAAGTGTTACCAAAAACAAAAATAGCAAATTTAAAGAGTTTAGGCCTATATCTCAAACCGACTTAACAAATGTAAATGATCTATAACAGCGAAGAAGCTAATGATTATTTTTCAGTCGACCGTAACAAGACACGAAATCTTTAGACTGAATAATTTAATTAAGCTATTGGTCTAGACTAAAACTATTTAATTAAATTACAACCGACTGTTCAAAGGAGGACAATAAATTATTTCCCTGAGCTCAAAACATAATACTTAAGTAGGTTATATTGTGAATATTGAAGGTAATATGCTGTAAATGTTGATATCATTCACCGCCTGTGTGCCTGGCGCGCGCTCCCTGATCCCCCTCTCTCGTGTACACTTGAGTCGGAAAACCGTTATCTCGCAATAAACATGCCCAGTTTCCATAGAAATAGTTTCCAAACGTTAAAACACACTCAAACCAAACACACACGCGACCGTTTTGAGAAAGCAAAATGAAACAACACTAACCACTCAGTTCAAATTTGTTTGCTTTTTTTCGTTTCAAAAACTTTTAAAGCGTGAACAAAGAACTGAGGCGAAAGATCCAGTGGAGCAAACGCGCTCGAAAACAAGTTTTATGACATAATAAAGTCTAAATAAAAAACAACAACAGCAAAACAAGTCGAACATTCCCGTAAGCAACCAATGTAGCCTATAATAAGGGAATAACAGAGACGAACGGGTTTATTTATGGTTAGTTGGACAAACACGCAGGGGCGTCATGCAAGCCAAAATTCTGGGGGGGCACAATCTGAGATGTTGCAATTGTTTCCTGATGAGTGGTCATGTAAGGGGGGGTCAGGGGGTTTCTCCCCCTGAAATTTTTTTAAATTCTGGCTGCTAAACATACCATTTCAATGCAGTTTGGGAGGGACAGAAATACCTTAATGGAGCTAGCAGCAACCCTCCTCTATCTGAGGACTAAGTTAAAGTATCTTTTTTGTAAGTTTATGTAAAAGACAGGTTGATGAAAGAACTGTAAGCTCAAATTCAAAAGCTTTTGAAGTCTACTTCATTAAAGCATATTTACACACACACTTACTGTACACTTAGGCCTTCTACACATGTTTTTAAAAACAGTACCATTGCAGTTTTTATGTTATGATTTTAAATAGGTATGTGACCTAAGAACGATCTTACATTAAAGGTATACAGTATAAAGGGGCTAAGGTCTGACTTTGTGGTTCTCTGAAATTAAGTTATTTTAATATCAATATGTGATGAAGGACTTTGAAAGAAGTTCGACAGATTTCAGTGCTGAATAAGGTTAACACTACCCCGTTTATTTGAGCATATGATTTTGTCGCACCTTTTTTTTCTTTTCTACATGCCATGGGATAAATCAGTGCATGCTGATGAACAGTGGTCTTAATCTGCGTACCCTAGATGTAAAAAGACTGACAGTGACACAAAGACCTCATGTTAGCAAAATGTTTTAATCTTTTAACTCTCAAAAAAACTATTAAAAAACATGTATGTTCTTTAACATTAGATTATAATTTTACTGTCTTACCATATGGATGGAATTGATAAGATTTTAATAATAATAATGCCAATGACGTTCTGTTTATCGATCCGATTCTTTAGAATCAGAATCAGATTCTTTAACGATTCTCTTATTGATTCTTGATAGCATTTTGTGGAAAAATGTAGTCATGTGCTTTTTTTTTTTTTAAATCTTAAGCTTGAGTAGCCTAAGCAAACTGTACTTTTTATGTAATTCAAGTAATAAACAGAACATTATTGTAAAGTGTTACTGATTAGTTATACACCGATTCAGACGTCTCCCGAGTTCACTGTTGGAAAGATCAGTTGTTTTAACCATTCATTAAAATGAATCGGTTCAAATGAGTCATTAGTTCGCGAATTGGACGTGTTATGCGCGTTGTGTGATTATCCTAGCTGTTAGGACATGGATGTCATGTTTATGTCAACTGAATGTCCAGAACGCTTCTCAGAGAAGATAAGGCAACTTATTTAGCACAATTCACACCCAGCGGTAAATAAGGGGGAAAAACACAGAATGCTCCACATTAAACTTTCATCTTCCGACCTTTTACCACCGTGTCGATTTATTTTGATTAATAATATGTGCGAGGGTGGGAGACAGGGAGAGAGCAAGTTGCAAGAGTTTTGTATGGCAGGCAGTAACGTTAGCCAACTAGTTTACGGTTACACTAGGCTAGCTATTGATAACGTTACACTGCATTACATTGTTAATGCTCTGAATTCGCAGCTAATATCAATTCCATAACTTTTGATCAAGTTAAAATGTCCAGGTCAACCATAAATAATCCCACTACCTTTTAATATCATCCGATAACTAATTCAATGCCGATTTGTTGCATTTCCAACTTACCACTCGCCAGTTCAACGTGCGAGCTGCTTGTACCGCCGGAACATACACAGCAAAGATTCACGCGCGTAGATTTGATACACAGACACCATATTAGGAAAAACGGGCGGGCTAATGCTGACCGATTTATTATCACACATCAAGAAAAAGAATATATTTGAGTCGTTATAGGCTCTGGTAATTATGGAGCATAATAGGAATAAAGGAATCAGGGAAAAAATTAAAATAAATTTTAAAAGAATTTTAAAAAAATTATCAGGGAGGAAAAATCTGAGGGGGCACGTGCCCCCTCACTTTGAATGGGCATGACGCCACTGCAAACACGGATCACGGATGCGAGTGAGTCTGCAGCCAGAGATGAGAAACATTTCAGCGCGAGGACAACTAAAACTTCAACTCGTGTCAAGAAACACGACACATCCACCCCAACATGTTACTTTTATCTCAGTTTAGATTCAACGTCCACTTCTAACATCTCATCTAAAAGAGCTAACGGGTTAGCTCAATAGTTTAGTTGGCTTAAAGAGACAAGAGACTTTAGTGAAACAGGACGCTGATTGAAACACATTTCAAGAACTTCGATAAATGATTCACCGCAGTTTGTATCACTTTAGCTTCTTCTACAAAGAAAGTATAAATGTGGGGTGATGTGTACTCACATTGCATGGAAAGGAGAAGCAGAACGCAAGCCAGTTGTGTTAACGCCATCTTGGAGTCGATGAAATGTTCAGTTCGGCTGTACATGCGCAAAGTAAAGGGCTTTAGGAGAGGATGGAGCCCAGAGCTCAGCTCGCGCACACCGACCAAAGTGAGAGAGAGGCACGTCACGTCGAGCTATTGTGAGGAGTTTCCATGACTACAAACAGCATCATCGTCGTGAATATTCAGTTGTTGTTTTTTTATTTTTATTTATGGATTTTTTTCATGCCACGCCAATGATGGATCATGGACGTTTTTACACACTTTGAAATTGTATATCACACTTTTAAACATTTCGGAAATATTTCCACATTTCTATTGAACAAGCAAAGTAAAAACAAATCATTATGTTTCAATAACCATTTGTTGTGTTTCAAAGTATATTGTGCTGACAGACTAAAAAGCACAGTAAGCCTACTTGATTGTTTTGACTGTAGTGTGTTTACATTAGGGGTTTTACTGTAAAGTAAATATTGTAAATGTAATAAATTGCAACTTTGTAATTACATTTGTGTAATTATAATCTACTTAAATAGGTTCAAAAGAAACGGTTCAAAAGAAATTACATAAAAATGCATTTTACAGTAAATGACCATATAGCCTGTCTATATTTATACAGACAGATAGGAGATAGATAGATAGATAGATAGATAGATAGATAGATAGATAGATAGATAGATAGATAGATAGATAGATAGATAGATAGATAGATAGATAGATAGATAGATAGATAGATAGATAGATAGATAGATAGATAGATAGGGGTTTCAGGATTTAGAATTTCAGGATTTCAATCTGCATAAATGCCGCAGCATTAGAGATAATAATTGATGTTATCACACTTTGTTTATGTGAATTTGTCGGATGGCAAGTTTAGAATGTGTGTGTGACAAAGACCATTCCAGTGTCTGACAACGGGAGATAAACGCAAATCCAGAAGGCTAAGGGCACATTATGTTTTTCCAATTCCAGACATTATCGACAACAAGGACGTTCAAAGCAAGAGTCTCTCGCTTCGCCAACCACTTGCAGCACTTGAGCACAGATAAGAGAAGTCATAATCAGTGCATCAAGTAAGTGTATTTATATCTGGATGTTCTATATTTCATTTGAAGGGTTCACCGGTCAAGACCATTCACATTCAATCTTCCTCTTGTTCGACAAGAACAATATAAATAAATAATACAAATCAATAAATAAAAATACAGGGGAAATTACATTTACATGACAACCGCAGACTGAAAAAACAACATATTGTATTAAATATATATTGTTTCCACACATTCTCTACTTACTATTCCTTGTTGCAAGCTCCAGAATTATTTCTCAAAAATGATAGGCCTAAATTATATCAGTATAGTTTGAAACCATGAAGCACAGCACCCAATTGAGCTCTGTTATAAGTAAATAAATAGTGATGTTCAGCCTATATTTTAATTCAAAATGAATTCAAACTATCTTAACCATTAGACAACAGCCATGTATAGGCTATAATTTGCAATAAATGCATGGAGGGAATAGAGACATATAAAAAATTCATTTGGGTCAGTTTCACATTTTGCACCTTAGGCTTTTAATGTGATTTGTTTTCGCACCACAAACAGAGAAAATGAACAGTGAAAGCTGTCTGTTGAGAGAAGAGGGCCAGATGGTGCTGTGTAAGGTGGACAGTGTGGTGAGCTCAGGGGAAATGAATGGATTCAGGCAGACTTCCCGGCATCTTTCACATTCACACTCACACTCACGGCAACCCCTGGCCGCTGAACACAGCAGAGCAGGAGCAGTGTGCGAAGATGTACATGATATTCTGGAGGCAATTGAGCCTAGACCTTTCAAAGGAATTTTGTAATTTTGCATGGACATTTCTGAAGAACTTCGTGTGAATACAACATCGGACACTGCTTGAATTGCTTACGCAACATGGTTTACTGAGATACCGCAGGCACCTGACAGACTCATAGTCATGTCTGATAAAAACAAGCTGGTTAACTAGACTACATTCTACATTAGAATAAACAATTAAAATAATGCTTTGTAAAATATGCATGCAAGATCACACTGCACACTTCATTTCTGTTGAACAACGACTCTAAAACACCAGATATTGCAAATACTGAGGTATTTGCAAACATGCCTATGCAGTTACTCCTTAGTAATGCAGCATTCCTTCGACTTCCTGAGTTAACACACTTCCTGTCATGCACTTAAGTTAAACAATATTCCCTACTTCCATATTGGCATCATGTACTAACAACATATTTCCTCCTCTTAAGGAAGGATGTGTTCATAAACATCACAAAATATTGTGTTGCATCATTTGGTTGCCATGCAATTGTTGTTGTTGTAGCAAATTATCTCTATGAAATATTAATAATCAATCATAACTTGTTATAATTTATTATGAATATTTGGATCAGCTAATTACTCGTTTCATTCCGTGAACACTCAATATTGGTTATTAATTGATTAATGGAAATGTACATTTTTGAGGCATGGGAAATGTCTTTCTTACTAAGTATTTCTAAGAGCAAGTATCTAATACGAAAAAAATCGTTCTAAAATCGTTGCTAAAAACTCGAATGTAATAACGACTGGCGAAACATTCATGCATTTGAGGGTTAAGATGTTCTTGGTCTGATTGCAAGCAGTTGTAATTTGTTACATTCAGTTACGAGAAAACATCTGCAGTTTATTTGAGGAATGGTGAAAAACAGTTCAGTTCAGGATTTTCTCTTGTTGTTTTACTCATTTGATGAGTCACACTGTAAGATGACACATTAAGTCAAGCTGCCAAAAGCTGACTTCAGCCAAAAGTGATGAAAACGGATCCAGTCCTCATGCAGCTTAAATGGCCCATGTTAAAGGATTCAGTTTTTAAAGAACATTATAAAATCCCTTTTGAAAATGTGGATTTCAACTCAAGTGGGCTGCATCTTGCAATACTGAAAACCAACCCCCCTTTGTTGGGGAGGAAATGTCTTTTAGAGGATCAACAATCTCATCAACCCACATACACTGATATATGTAGTGCACATCAGATCCTTTCTCTAATTTGGGTAGAAATTGTGTGACCTGAACCAAATTAAAATACAGGTTTCTAAACCAGTTGTTAACCATTTTTACTCCAAAGTCCTTTTGCCAAGACAATATTCAAAGGCTCTCCTGTCTAAGCTTCATTTGTAATATAAATAAATAAATAAACACAAAAATTATGTCAGTTTAATGTTGTACATCTTTATTTTTAATGTTTTATTAAGCGGTTTAATTAAAGGTGGGGTGTATGTGATTTTCTTTTTAGACCATTTCTTCAAAATCACTTGAAATCCTATTCCTAATCCACTTACAGAAGCAATGAAATAAAAATTAAGCAATTTAATCATCCGTAGAACGGGCAGGACTCGAAAAACTCCAGCCAATCAATTCCAAGACCACCTAGAATCATTGGACAGTGCGTCAATCAAACGGTCGTACCATCATACCCACCCCCCTCTTCGAATGTGTGGAGTGGACAGAGTAAGGGGAGCATTTGAGCTTTTAAAACTTAAACTTTTTTTTTTTTTTTTTAAATGAGTGATCGTTTCACTTGATAAGACCCTTATTCATCGTCTGGAATCGTTTAAAGCCCTTTGAACAGTTTGCAGTTTGTACTGAACGTGTCTTTTGGACCTTGAACCATTTGGTTTCCACTGAAGTCCATTACAGTATATGGAGAAAAATGCTGGAATGTTTTCATCAAAAACCTTAATTTCTTTTCGACTGAAGAAAGAAAGATATGGACATCTTGGATGACATGGGTGAGTAAATTATCAGCAAAAGTTTTTTTCAAAAGTGAACTACTCCTTTAAAGGTGCACTATGTAATTTTTAGCGGCATCTTGTGGTGAGGTTACAAATTGCAACCAACAGAAGTTACATTGGTCGACAGAGACAGTGGAGAGTAAACAGTTAGGCAGTGAGGTTTCTATAAAAAGATAAATTAAAATGGGGGATTTAGTAGTGTGTAATGTTTAGCAGAGTTTCTGTTATGGGGGGGGGGGGGGGGGTTAACATCATAGTGACGGGTGGAGCATAAGTTCGGTTTGCGAACTGGCATATGTGGCATACTGGCTATGCTATTGGTATCAAAGCTTTGTGTTAGCAAGTTAGAATTACCTGAATTAGTTAGTTAAAGCAACCCAAGTTTACTACTAAAATATTTAAGTGGAGATTATGACAATTTTAAGTGAAATGTTTGAATTATCTTACTCAAATATTTCAAGTTAAGAGCAATCAAAATGTACATTATGGATACAAAATAAAAATTAGCTAGTTCTGCTTACTTAAACTTTGAATTTCTTGAATTTCTCATTTGGATTTAACTGATTTTGCCTCAAATTCAAGTTAGCAGGGCAGGGTGGGGTTTTGTTCCATATACAGGATGCGGACACTAATGGACATAATTTTTATAATCGTTCAGTATGACTCTTGTAAACTGTCCCATGGGAACTGCTTGAAACAGGAAGTATGCTTATTAAGTTAGCAACTCCCTGCCGTACAGATTTGTAACTTCAAATGCTATAGACCTGAACCCTTTTCACCAATGAGTTCGGTTTTAGCCTACAACAATGAGATGTACTTTCATCAGAGAAGACAATTAAGAAAACGGATCAAATGGACATTGATCACTTCCTTCATGGTGAAGCTAAATAAGCGTCATTGTAGATGCTGCACGCTGATTCAGATTTACAGTACAGTCATTAAAATTCCAACTGTTTCTGAACCAATGACACGACTTGCAATTGATAGGATTGTGACATTTGTGGGGTGTGGTTGTTCTTCTCATCCACATATTTTGAAAGACAGCTGCATGATAAAGCACATCTTAACTCTTTGCTCGCTTATACATTTCGTGTTGCATAAGAGAGCTCCGCCAAGCTTCAGTTAAATGCCGTTGCTATACCCCTTCATTGTCAGAGGCTGATACTCCCTTTCATCACAGAGAGATTGAGATTGAGACGCCTTTAAAGTCTACAACACACAGCATCTGTGAAGCTGAGTTAGGCACACCACGCCGGAAACACGGGACAGCTGCATTTCAACTCTAATTAGGTAAT